TCTTAAAAAAGTACATAGTACAAATAAAAAAGTGCATTGTTGCAATTCAGCAGCGTAAAATTGAAAAAAATTTAAAAAAAATAATGTAAATGAACTTAAGTAATTATATTAGTAAAGCTATATTGTGTATATTGATAGGATGACGTAAATTGGATTTGTGGATTTTTTTTTGTGATTCCGTTTATGCAGGCTTTTACGCTCTCTTCTAGTTGTCTATTTGTAAACGTGGATTTAATGTAAAGCAAAAAGCATTATTTTATGTCATTCAGCACTTGACAGTTATAATAATGCCATCGTTTTTGAGTTGAGTTAAAAGAATCGTGGCAATTCAGCGCGCATAAATATATTTCGGGAATAATTTTTTTAGCACAGCCAAAACTAATTTGGAAAATCTGCAGAGATTTGGCATTATTCAGCGCTGTTTAGCAGAATTTTGCGTTATTCAGCAAAATCTTATAAGTTGTTCTTCGTTTCCCGCTACAATTATCTACGAATAATTGCAAATTAGCTTTTTTTGAGTATTTAATCTTCGTTTCAATTCCAGTTATTCAATTCAAATATTTACTATTCTGTGAATTCAGCTCTAATTCAGCTAACATTTTTTTTCAATTTCAAGAGACAGAAATGGAGTGGTTTATTTGCTTAATATTTAGCGTATTTAGCTCTAATTCAGCAAATATTTTTTTTTTCATTCAAGTAATAAAAACTGCTTTCAAGCGTTCCGTAATACCTTCTGACTCCAATTCAAGTAATTCACTTCGATATAAACTATTCCGCACATTCAGCTCCAATTCAGCTAACATTTTTTTCTAATTCAAGCGATAAAAAACTGTTTCTAAGTTAGCTGCGGCAAAAATGCATAAGTCTAAAAGTTTAAAACTTTAAAGTTTCCTTTCAGATATTTAAACTTGTCAACTGCTATTCTGCATTTTTACTAAAATGTTTTTAACTCTAATATGTATTTACTAGCTTTGATTTAGTCAAATTTTATTTACGCATACATATGTGCTTCATTTTTAAATAGTAACTAGGCCTTGCGCTGAATTCGCAAATCGATGAAAATTTACTACAATTGAAATTGTATGTATTTAATTTAATTTATGCCTTTTGCTTCGATTTAGTTCAAGACAGACAGTCAGTTAGTAGTATGTAGTAGTATGTACATATATGTATGTATGTATAATCGTTTTTCAATTGGCCGCAAGTGTACTCATTTCGTTTATTTTTTATTTTTATATATTCGTGGCTTTGGTGTTTTCTATTTTATTCTTTGTTAGAATTAAACTAATGAGGTATTTTGCTTTCTGCACGCAAATATTACTAAAACTTTTGCTTTGTTTTTTTTTTTTTTTTCCTAGGCAATTAGATTCACAACAATAAATTGACTATTTCACATTGACGCTAATTTACACTTGTCTAGTTAGAAGAGCATATCCACTTCCATACGTATATATGTATATATGTATGTATGTTTGCAGGTACTATATGCTTTTACAGTGTATTTTTGGTGTTTTTACAAAAACAATCTTCTGTTATAAATTTCTTTTTTTTATTTACATTTGAAATTGTCTTTACATAAAACCTTGCGTAGCATAATTTATTGATATTGAATCAATTGACAAAAAGGGTGTATTGCAAAATGGCGAAGAAAAAGTTTTATTTTTATCTCACTTCACCTCTGTTAATTATGAAGCAAAAAAAAATTTGTCAAAAGAAAATGGTTTCGGTTAGCCCTAGTGCCTTGGCTAGACTTTCAATGTGAAAATCAAATCGCAAGCTTAAGGGAAATTTGCGTATGAAAGTACGTTGAAATTCATATGTAGTACATACATACTTACGCATACGTACAAGGTTATGTATGCAGCTGTATACACATAGGTACAGTGGACGCGTTTTGATAAATTTTTTTTTTATCTTAAACAAGTAGAGAAAAGCGTAGAAACTCAAAGAATTAAAATTCAGCTGTGTGAATCTCTTGTACTGCAATTAATACTGTTGCTATTATATTTTTCTGTCTGCTCATTTATTTTTACATTTTTTCATATAAAAAGTACACCAATTTTAAAGACTTTGAACTTAAAATTTTAAACTTTCTCTTTTATTTCCATTCATATTTTCGAGTCTTTATTTTTACAAGTTTTTTTATTTATTTTTATCGAAAGTTACAATTTGACTTCTTTTCTTTCTGTTTTTAATTTTTTCATATCCTTCTGAGTATTTTTTTATAAATTAAAAAAACTTTTATTTCTTTATTTATAAATTAAAAAATGTTTTGAACAAAATTTTTTTACCGTGTATTTATTAATTAATTTCTTCATATTTTTTAGTTTCTATTTTTGGAAGCAATTATATTTTTGGAAATAAAATTTTATTTTCCTTATTTGCGCAATATACGTTTTTCGTAAATTATCTGGCCTTCACTAATTTTATTTTTACTTCGTTTCTAAATATATATATATATTTTTTTAATTGTCAAATCGAGTAAATTTAGCTAATTTTCATATATAGTGTAAATATATTTTTTTGAATTAAAATTATTTTGAAAACTCATAATTAAAATTGTTTGAATTCGTATCAAATAATGCATGATGTGTATTATTTCCATGAATATTGCTTTAAATTGAAAAATCACAAACAAATTTGGAAGGTGCTAGTAAAAAAGCGTATGTTTTTCAATAGTTTTCCTTGTATGCACCCACCTGAAGAAAAGGTAATAGCTAGAAAGTTTTGAAACAAAAAAATCGTAATTAAATTTTTTAAATATATATGTTTATTTTTGAAATAAATTAAATAAATTTTGATTCAAAAAATACTTTTAGAAGATGTTTGGTTCGAAAATAATTACAACTTTAGGTTTAAAACAAAAAAAAAATATTAGTTTTAAATTAAAACTTTGTTTTAGAATTTTTTGAAAAGTTTTTTTTATGATGAAAGTAATTGTGAATTGAAAAGGTTTAAAATTTGTAAAATGGGAGCTAACGAAATTTTTAAGGGATTTCTCAATACAAAATTACAAATTAATATTATGTTTGTTGTAAACTTTTTTGCTTCATGCGTTATTTTTTTATTTTAAAGTTATATAAAATATTTGAAAGAAATTGTTTTAAAAACGAATTTACTTTAGAAGTTTTTTACTTAGAATGAAGTATTTTCCTTCCCACTTTTCATCACTCCCTGCCCACTGTACTTTAGTATGTCTGCATATGTGTTACACCACATTATTCAGGCGCGCCTCTACTCAACAATGCCCACTGTACCTATTTTAATATGTATTAACAAATATTTATATAGATACATATGTATGAAGGTACATGTGTATATATAGCTGTAATACAATACGCCAGGTGAATGTTAAATCTAAGTAAGAAGAGAAAAGACAGCGGAAAGGTAAAAAAGTGAATATGCCATTCATTTTCAAATCGGCTGTGATTTTTTAATGGTAAAAGCGAAGCATTTCAAAGCGCGAAAAATAAATTGTATGACAAAGAAATGTATTGTCGCTATGTAATAGAATTTGGAGAATGTGCTATACTTTCAAAAAGTGATAGTAAAAAATTAAAAAAAAAAAAAATATTAATATAAAATATTTGTCGCCTGCTGCAAGCTTATGCTTTGTAATATAGTAACTGTAGCTGGAATTGTTTCTTGATTGTGGCTTGACGATGAAGAATGTTGCAACTTTGAGAAAAATTATAATTTTTTTTTAGTATTAAAGGAAATTGAAGTAAGCGAGAAATGGCGCTACTATGCGCTTAGTAAATTTTGTAACAACTTCACTTTTGTAAGAGTAATGCCAGTTTGTTAGCAAAAGAATGCCGCTCCTGCTTATTCTTTACTTTTTTTCAAGGTTTTGTTTTAGTGTAATTTTTCGATTTGGTTTTTCGATTTGGAAATGATTTTGAAACTAGATTTTTTCATTTGATACTATGTATTATTATTTTTCATAAAATTATTTTTTTTAAGTAACGAAATTAAAACTTATTACGACTCTTCTTGCTCTAAATTTCGAACTAATGCTGCTGATTTTTCTTTTATCTTATGCTTTGGTTATGCTCTATGAGTGTTTCTTTGTATGTGTTGCTTCTTATACAATTATCTATAATTATTTTACATTTAGCTTTTATTAACATTATATTTAATAAATATTAATGAGTTACATTATAAGAATGTTATGAGTTAATTAAAGCTTTTTTATGTTACGTTGAATGGAAAGTTCAATTGAAGTTTATATAAAAAAATTATATAAGTTTTTTGTTTAATAAAATAATTTCAATTTAAAATTAAATAAATATTTAATCTGTTAGTGCGCAAAATTTATACATACACATACTTACGTACATATAAATATTATAAAAAGGTATGTAGACATATGACTACATATTAACTTGGGATTATGCATACGTACATTAGGGTGCAGCACTAAAATAATACGCGTTTTTTCCACCGGAATTTTAGAATAAAGACTATCGCCAGAATATTTCGGAAAATATTAAGATTTACGAGAGCTAGGCCGATTAGAAAAGGTCTCGAAAAAGCGATTTTTTTAATGAATATCATTTTTTTTATCTCCTCAGATAATAGAAGAGTTTAAGCACAAAAATTTGTGAACATTTTACCAACGGAGTCAAAAAAATTAAATCTTAGGAGTAATTTTCAAATTAGTGCAGCTCACGTAAAATTTAATATTGTACCGAAATATTTTGGCGAAAATGCTAAAATATAGTAAATTGCATAATTCCGTGTACTTATTTTTTTGTTTTTTTTTTTTTTGTATTGAGAGTGATGCACCCCAATGTAAATTGACCTTCCTTTAACAAGCTCGTTTGGCAAATGTTTTTTGTTGTGTGTTTTCTTCAACTGAAGCTTATGGATTTTTACTATGGATTCATGTCATTAATCTCTGTTTTATTTATAGATTATTTAACACTGGTTGTGTATTCCATTTTTTTTTTTTCATTTTAGCTTCCAATATATTTTCCACATATATTTAAATTTTATTTTTAGGTCACTTTCACTTGTACAAATAATAAAAAAATTTTAAAATAAGAGAGACAAAAATAATAAAAGTAAAATACTTATAGCAATTCAAGTAAGTCGATACTTGCGCCTTTCTTGTACATTTCACATCATTTCATTTCAATTTTAGCTTTTCAGGTTTCAACTCACCAACTTGTCGTTTTAGTATAAATATATCTACATATATGTACTGTCAACGCATATAACCGTATTTCTATGCTTAATGTTTTTTCTTGCCTTTTTCGTGCGCAAATAAGCAGACAAGTGCTGAAATTAGATACATATTATATAACCGCATTCTATAATCTCTTCTTGCATGTACATATTTGAATTGTATAATCCGCACAAGCTGACTTTCTTATTTGAAAAAAAAATTAAAAGAAAAAAGAAACTCCTCAAACTCCTCTCACTTTTTTCTTCTCGCACCTACCAATAAACACACAAGCCCTCTCGTCAATGTAGCCTACTTAAGCAATTAAGCACATAATAAATTCTACAAATTCAGCAATTCAGCAGCTGCGCGCGCAACAGCTTAAACGCCCACTACCAAAGTGAGTGGATACTTAATAGATTTCTATATCTAATTACAGCTAACGTTCTTAGGTAGATTTTAAAAGCACAAAATATATTGTGAATAATGAATACTGACTGGTTGCTCAGTTGCTTGCTTTTGGTTGCTCTGGGTTTGCTAAAACGCGCTTACCGCTTTCGAAAAAACTGCGCTCGTTGCATGGACGTTGGCAAACACGTTGACTGCGATGACGATGGCGACAACGACGACGACAACGACGACGACAACTACAACGACAATGACAATTACTCAGTATATTGACGGGCGGTGGTGACTGGCTTGTCACCCATTAGTGTGTCTGTGTGTGTGTGTGTGTGTGTGTTGGCTGCTGTAGCACTCGTCTTACTGCCTTGACAGCTACCGGCCGCATATGGACTGCACGTTCGGTCTTTCAGAAAGACCGCTATGTGCCTCAACAACAGCTAACCTGGCCGACTGATCGACTAGCTGTCGACTCTGCCTGCCTGCGATACTGTGCGACGAGCCTGTTTGCATATATCTCTTTCTCTATGCCAATGTAAGGCATGTGTTGCGTGCCCCCTCACACGGCTGCTGGCTCCACGTCAGCGTCCTTGCCCTGTGCGCATGATTGCGCCGCTGCACAGCCTAAGTTTTTCGAACTCTGAAAGAAGATCTTGAAGAGACTACGCTTGGGCGCAAATTTGCCATTCGCCGCTGGCAGCGCTTCTGTGATGCGCGCGGTGCCATTCGGCGAATTGCCATTGCCATTACCGGTGAATATGAGCGTCGTTTTGATGGGGGGCGTTGCAGCATCGTAGCTTTTTGTTACACTAACCGTTGTAGCTTCTATCGCTTTGGCTGTCTGCGTTTGTGTTTGTGTGTGCTCCTTGACTAGAGGTGCGCTAAAGTTGATGATCGTGCTGCAGCTGCTATTCGGTCGCAAGCCGTGTATGCGCGCGGGGCTGCTGTGTCTATTTGTTGCCTGTAGCGGTGGTCCGACTGTGCTGCTGAGCGAATTTTGCGGCGTTAGGAACTTGCATGAGTTGAGTGAGTATGTTGATGCTTTGCTGATGTTGCGTCGTATGTTGGCGCCGCAGCGTGTGCCAGCGCAGTGACGATTGAGGAAGCCGCTACCGCGTCCGCCTGAGCTGCTTTGACGTTGGAGCGTGCGTTCACGCGTGCGTGATTCTAGGCCGAATAGCCGCTTTACGCCACGCCGCACGCGTTTGTTGCGGTAGGCAAATATGAAGGGTGAGGTGAGATTTCCCAGCAGCAGCATGAAGATGGCCAGTTGCGTGGAATGTTCGAAATTGGCGCTGGGTAGGCGGCTCTGCAGTAACACCAAGCACCCGTAGGGGAGGTAGGAGACCATGAACATGATGACCACTAGAATGCTGATGCGTACCGTGCGCGATTCTTCGCGATACTTGAAGAGCGATGAGGCATTCGAGAGTCGATGACGCAGCGTGGACATGTAGCTAAGCGCTTTCGGTGAGCTGTTTGGCAAGCAGGGAATTTGTAGCACATGCGAGTGATGACGGTTGGCGCTTTGTGGCGCAAACTGTTGGTGGCGTACGGTGGGTGCGTGATGCGCATGCAGTTGCTGGTGGCCCAGCAGGTGTGGCGAGCAGTTCGACTCCAGCGGGTCTTGTGTGTACTTGTGCAAGTTGGGTGAAGAGTGCACTTGACGCACGCCCTGCAGGCCATGCGATTCGTGCAGATCTTGAGAAGATGTGCCCAGCAGCGGCAGCTGACGCGCCGAGTAGTTGCGCTTGATTTCGCCACTGGCTGTCTGCAATGTCAGCAGAATGTTCTGATTGCGGTCAGCATAGTTGGGTTGTTGCGTTAGTGACGCCAATGGCTCGGTGTTGTATTCGCCCGACTCCAACTGTGCCGCTTCATCGGACAGCCCGTCATCGGAGATCGTCGGTAGCAGCACCTTGGCAGCAGAGTCGCGACGCGTGCACACAGGTGAACTTTTGCGTTGATCGATCTGCATCTGTAGGCCGCCACGCTCGCATGCGCTGCCGCCGCCATTCGACGAAGCCGACGAAACGGAGTTGCGGTGCGCGCACATATTCGCATACTGAAGCGATGAGCTTTGTTGGTGGTGTGTGAGGTTGAGCGCGCTCTGCAGCAGCGGTGATGAGCCGTTCTGGCGCATGCGCAGCCCATTTTCACGTGCCTCGCTGAATATGCGCCAGTACATGCCACAAACGAAACCAAAAGGCAGCAGGATGATGATTATAAAGTAGACGCAGGCGAAGCTGATGCCGAAAATGCCGTTCGCCGAAGAGATGCTTAACTCACTGATGCCCGGTTGTCCCTCATGCACCACGGTGCGCGAAGTGAAGTCTATTTCGCGGAAGGCGGAGAGCGCGCCAAACAGTAAACCTACGATCCAGGTGAGCGCGATAAAGATCCATGTCTTCAGACTGGAAATGCGCGTATGATAGCGCAGCGGATCGGTGACAGCACACCAGGTGTCGCCGACTACCAGCAACACGCCAAGCGCACCTAAAGCGGCCGCCATATCGATGGACCAGCAGCGGATGTGTGGACGCGGCATCAGTGCAGCCATGACCGCATCGGGTCGCGCTGAAGTAACAGCCTCGGCGTGATGGTTCTCCTCCTCGATCTCGGTGATCACAATAGTATCGGTGCCTTCATCGATTGTCAGCTCCTGACAATAAGTGGAATTGCACTTGTATATCGTCTCAATTGTGCGCGCCTCCTGTTCGCCATCGCTGCGCATGCTTGTCAAATTGCGGCGCACAATCACGCCCTCCTGCTCCACCAGCCTGCCATTGTGTTTGATGGTCATCTGACGATTGCCCGGCTTGGCGAGTATTTCGATGCGATCGTCGCTAGACGCTGCAGCGAGCGAAAGGCTAGCAGACAATGATGCTGCCGCAGCTGTGGCAGAGTTGGCCGATGAGTTGGCGACATCTTCCTCCTCTGTAGCGTTGCGCGTTGCTTGACTGAGAAATAGAGTTGGCGCAAGTATGAGGCAACCGATCAGATTGATGACTAGCAAATTGATGGTGAAGCGATTGGCGGTGGTGCGCAAGCCGGGTGTGACCCAGAAAGCGCCCAAAGCCAGCAGATTGATGACAAACGAGACGAGCAGTAGGGCGAGTATTAGGAAATCTATGGCCATTATTCGTTAAAGTGGCGGGTGTGGGAAATTAGCATGTGATGGTTAGTGGTGTTGTTGTTGGTGCTATTACAATTGTACCCAGCTACTTGCGTGGAGTAAGGTATACCTGGGTTTACACAAATTTCCTTAGTTGTTGGTGTTGTTTTTGTTTCTTTTGTTGCTGATGCTTCAATGATGTAATCGTTTTGTGCGGAAGTAGTTTGCGCGGCATTGGTGCAAATGCAAACTCGAATGAAAAAAAACACACAAAAACAAAGTTTATTATTATTTTTTTTTTTGCGAGAAGGGTTGCGCGCTTAGTAACACTTTTTTGTTAGTTTGTTTTCTATTGATTTTTTTTTTTGTTTTAATGTTTTCAATGTTCAATACTTAGTTAACTTTTGTGTACCGCTTTGTTTGAGGCGAAGGGGTGTGGCGATAGCGCACATCACGATCAGCATGCTAATGCGACAAGTTATCTGGCGTTTGTTGTTGCTGTTAAATGTTGTTAGCGCTCTATGTTCTCGCTGTCAGTTTAATAGTTTTTTTTTTTTTCTTTTTTTCAGAGTTTTTCACTTTTGCAAATTTTCACGCTTCGCCGCTCCCGCTGAATAGTCTTATATGTGCGCTGTCTCGCGATCTATTTGGCTAGCGTGTTTGGGGCGCGTCGTACGTTTGTTCTAATTCACTTTCTTTGCCTATTTTATGACGGAAAGTTTTCGCGCCGTTAATTGCACTTAGTGTGGCTGCTTTTCGCTTAGTCACTCTGCCACTGACTGGCCAACGACAAGAAAGTTAGTAGTATTGAGAAATGGTTGTTCTTTGTCTTGTGGCCGACTGCTGATTCGTGTGGCTGACACACTTTTTTACACTTTTTCAGTACTTGAGCCACTGGAATATTTCCTTTTTAGTATTCTTGGCTTGAATGTTTTCTTTCAGAGTTTTTCGGCATTTTTTCGAAGTGATATTTTTTTCAAAAAATTTTTTTTTTGGAATTTTTTTATCGAAATCTTTTTTTCACAATGTTCTCGAAATTCTAAGTTTGAAATTTGTTGCTCAAATCTTTTTCAAACTTAGTTTAAATTTTTTGTTTCATTAAACGCACTAAAGCACACAATGAACATTTGCTTAAGTGCTTCCTCCAGCATTCGCGTCTCTTCTTTGGCTGCTTTGGCTTTTGTGTGCAATTTTTTTGTTCAATATTTTTTTTTTCACTCAATAACCAATCACTTAACCCCCTTCTGCTGTTTGCCGCCTTAAGGGGATTTTGTTTATTTGTTAATAATTGTTTCTTTTTCAACTTTTCGATTTCTGGTTTTCAAATTTATGCACACAATTTACAAGCGCGCTGCTGTGTTCTTCGTTATTCAAGTTTTGTTTTTTCTTGCGCTTTTTGTTAGTCGACTGACTCAACTTAACACAGGCCGCGAAATTTTTGAGTTTTTTTTCACTTTTTTTCTTTTGCCACACAAATCAAACTGTTTGCTTCACAATTCCAGTTGGCTGTTCGTTGGCTTTTGTTTTAAGCAAACACATATATTTGTGCGCGCCAACCGCCTAGCTTGCATACAAAATTTTATTTTATTTTGTATTTTTCAATTGCTATGCTGCTACTTTGAGACACTCAATTGCAAATAATTTTTAAAATTTCAAGCACTTTTGTTTTGATATTTCGAATGGACACTGCTAAAGCGCGTACAGTTTATTCAGCATCCAAATTTTATACACAAATTTTCATTTAATTATATTTTTAATTTTGCTTAGTATCTGCGTGTAAGCGTCTGTATCGCGTTGGATCGTGCGTTTTTCTCGAAATCTTCTTTTACCGATTTTCAACTTCAACGATCTTCACACCCAAACGTTTCAAGCAAAACTGTAGAGCGTCGCTGGGCGCTGGCCAAGTAATATATCCAATGTGTGTGCTGGATGAGGTGTTGCGATCGCGGCATTGTCGTTGTGCTCGCGTTTCGCGCGAATGCCCCAACGAGCAAGAAACAGCTGAGCGCTCGAGTGGGTGGCTGGCTGACTGGTTGACTGGCTGGCTGGTTAGTACTGTAGCGTGCACACAATACAATAGCGTTCGGTACAATTGTTTATGCTCTGCATACGCGTAATTAAACAATTGACAGCAAATGTGTGGAGCTTGCGGCGCGTAAACACTCTCGATCTCTCGTTTGGTGGTACTTATAAGCGCATATCGTTATTTGTACGCGAAACTATCTACGCTGAGCGCGTTGAGTGAATTGAGTGCGCACCTTTTCTGCTATTTAGCGCGCGTACTCACTCTTCCTTTAAAAAAAAAAAAAAAAAAACTAGCGCTCTTCTCAGCACTCACGCGCTTCACTTCTTTACGCTACACTTCACTTGTTCTGGATCTGCACTTGTTCGGCCACCAAAAAGTACACAAAGTCTAGTCTTGCTTATTGAAAATTCCCACGATAAGTGGGATGAGCTGACGCACTGATTTTTTTTTTTAATGATTTGCTAAAGCAGCGGTGCGCTGCTGAGTAGTGGTGTGCCGCGCGCGGTAGTCTACTCGTAAATCGCCAAGTCACGCTGTGCTCTGCGCTGTATCGCCGTGGTTTCCACTTTGTGCGCTCGTTGTTTACCTCGCTGCTCTCGAGATATCCACACTAGGCGTTCGTCTTTGTATGCTGCGTTGACTGACTACTACTTCCTCTACATACATATGAATGCAGATATGTCGTGTATCTTTATTTGTTCTGCTGTATCTTTAATTGAATGCTGGCGGCATTTTTATCGCATATTTTTGTACTTTGATACTCTGAATTTTTTTTCGCTACTTTGCTTTGCTGTTAATTTTTTTTTATGAGTTGATTAATTGAATAGTTTTTCTTTTTGGTTGGCCGCGCGCTATCACCGTTTTGCTTTTGATGTGTCGCGCGCGCGATCGCTTACAATTTACATATGTGTGTACGCGCTGATCATGCGTTTTTGACGTGTTCTCATACATATAGCTGGACGCAGCGCGCTTGGGTGCGGCGTTGT